CATGATTTGGCTTTTGCAGATCTGAGCTTTCCCTCCCCAGGTAAACAAAGGGAAGATTTTTACACTAAGCATATTGGGGAAAGAAAGGGCTTTCTTTCTTTGCTAACATCTTCCTTTCTATGCTAACATCTACTACTGAACAGAAATCTAATGCAAGATGCATCAAACAAGGATAAAATCTCTGGAGAACAGACCCAGACGGTATGTTAATACTATACAGCGTAGAGCCCATGCCGGCATTTCCATTACAAAAATCCTATAATCCAAAGCCAGAGCAAATTGAACAAATAACCAATAATTAAGCTTTTGTCCCTCTCTTATTCTGGGAAAATAGTTTAAAAATTAAATTGTGCATGTAGATATGAAAGAATTAGTCATTGGTGTTAATCAATTAGGAATCTGCAAATAATTCCCTACATCCCCAATCCATTTTTCTGTCCCTATCTCAATATCAGCATTTTTCATTTTGTTGTTGTTTTTAGGGGAAAAGCTCTTCTCTAAGAGTCTTAGAATCATAAATTATCAGAGTAAAACAGATGCTGAAAATCATCTAGTATGAAAAATCATCACACTAACTTTAAAAATAAAGAAATTGTACCTCAGAGAAATTATAAATGGCAGAACCCAAGTCTATGAAATAATGACTTAATTCCATCTCCTCTCAAATTCTTTTTTTCTTCTTTCTTTCTTTAGAGGGAGAGAAAGAGAGAAGAGGCAGAGAGAAGGAGAGAAAAAATCTTAGGCAGGCTCCATGCCCAGCCCAGAGCCTGACATGGGGTTTGATCTCACCACCCTGAGATCAGGACCTGAGCAGAAACCAAGACTCAGACACTTCACTGACTGAGCCATCCAGGCACCCATCCTCTCAAATTCTAATAGAGCTTTGTTTTTGTTTAATTTATATATAACTGTCTTTTATTAGAGGAACGTGAAAGCATGAGGTCCACTAGGCATTTGTCCTTAGCAAGCAGGACTTCACAGTGTCAGTTTATGTTGGGTAGAATCTGACAGAAACACAAAGCTAGCCATTTTCACGAATTTAGAGGTCATTTAGATATTCAGAGTGACATGACTGAATCCTGGAGCTGAACAAATTTTAAGTATCTTCCAGTACAACCTCTTTCACATTTGAGGTGACTGAAGACCACAGAGGTGGTGACGTAGAAGGCCACCCAGTTAGAGGGGCAGAGCTGGTATTTTGTAACTCCTGGCTCGAGAGCCTTTCCACCATATCAAGCTGGGCTTTCTGTATTATACTCTGGTACTGCATCTGGCATTTTTAACAGATAAAAATCTCAGGTGTTACAAAATATCCATTTGTGACCCAGTCCGTTTCAAAGGCTGTGCACTGCGGCCCTGTTTTTTCAGTCACCTTCTGCGGTTGAAGGGCAGTCTTTGCTCTCAAAGTCTAGTTGGTCCATTGATTTCAAAAGACAAGACAAAAATACCACAGGTCTGACCCTTATGGTACAAGATGAATTAAGTGCTAAAAAGCCAAAGAATGCTGCAGACACAGGCATTCCTGTCACTAATGATCAGGTGAAACTTGCTCTTTTCAGTCCTTTCTGCTGACTCGGGCCAATTGTCAGAATCCTTGGGGCTGGGCTGCACAGACTGAGGGGTGGGTCTGCCCCCAGCTCATCCATCTGGGGGTTGACATTCTTAAACCAGAGCTTCCTCGAGAAGAGGAGCCACCCCAGTGACACGGCGGCAGCAACCCCCTCTGCCACTATCTGTGAGACTTTGATGAAGCCACGTGTCACTTCAGGCCTCGGTGGGCCCATGGGGAAAATGCCAGCATTCTCTCCAGCCCTACAGGGATATGGCCTAGGATTTAAGGGACAGCCATCTTCATACAGAGGAAGAAGGGGGTGACCTCAGGTGGACTCCTGATATGGCATTTGAGTCCTGAACCTTCTTTCTCTGTCACTTGCCTGCCAAGCCAGTCAGCCTGTGGGGGCTGAATCACATTTTCGAGTGGGTGGGAGGATGCTGCAGTGGAACAGACTGCGTGATCCCCAGGAACAACTGGAGGGGCTAGAGTGAGATGGGCCAGGGACAGAAAAAGCAGAGATGCCCGGGCACAAAGCGGGGAGTGTGGGAGGCAAGGCTGACTCACTGGCTCTGAGGAGATCAAACACTCTTTAAGGCGCTGGCTCAATCCTAGCTTTGATCCTGCAGGCCAGGCATTGCAGGGGGGGAGGGGGGGAGGAGCACAAATGCTGTACAAAATGCTTTTGAGAGGTGCTCGGCTGCTTTATCCTGCTGATTTGGGACGGCTCTCTCCTGAAGGTCTGCTGCATCCTCCCCAAAGGATGGAGCACACAGCAACATGATAAAACCCCTTCTGTGTGTTCTCCTGGAAGACTTGTCCAAATTATGGTCTTGATCTGCACAGCAGTGGGGCAGACCCATATCTCCAAGCCCACCATCCGGAGCCAGATTTGTAAATGTTACTTCCCGGCTATGACCAAGCTCAGCCAGCCTTTGCCTACCTTCGCCATCCTATTATTTAGATCCCAACACCGAGCAGCTCTAGGAGGTACTCTTCACATCTGGGGTCACCATAAACTGGCACATTTAGTATGACCTTTTCCTGGCAGGTGACCATACAGGTTTTGAGGAAAGGGTAGCACAGAGATCATGTGGACTGCTGGCAGGACTGCCCATTCCAAACCCACATAAAGGCACAGGATCAACACAGAAGAGCAGCAAACTGGATTCTGAGGTTACAGAGGCTCTCATGAACTAAAACGTGGAGATGTCACCATAGCTCTACTCAGGTCCCTAGGATCTTGCCCTATTGTTATCAAGATGAAAGACGACCTTAAATAAGTAAAAATACCAACAAAATGTGAGACCTCCTGAGAACAGAAGCCCATGTTCCAGCAGTGGTTATCTACAGAAATTCTATTAGTGGTCTGGAAAATCTCCAGAAGGCAATAACCTCCCCCACAGGCTCACTGCAGGCTTCTAGAGAGCACTGGCAAGCCTCAGAGTTGATGATAACCTTCTTAGAGGTGGTGACGATAGGCAGAAAGGGGAACTTCAGTCTGGGGTCCAAAACACTGCTAAACGCAATGTTCATACATATGACACAAATCTTAACCATTCTAGAAGGTAAAGTGAAGAACTAGATCACCAGTGAAGAAATGAAAGTGTTTTATCTAAATAGGTCACATTGAGGGACGCCTGGGTGGCTCAGTTGGTTAGGCAGCTGCCTTCGGCTCAGGTCATGATCCCAGTGTCCTGGGATCGAGTCCCACATCGGGCTCCTTGCTTGGCGGGGAGCCTGCTTCTCCCTCTGCCTCTGCCTGCCATTCTGTCTGCCTGTGCTTGCTCTCTCTCCCTCTCTCTCTGACAAATAAATAAAAAAAAAAAAAAAAATCTTTAAAAAAATAAATAAATAAATAGGTCACATTGAATGAGTCCTTCTAGTGACAAAATGTTAATGAGTTCTCCTCAATCTCATAAACTGGATTATATTTTTATGTTATCTTTTCTAAAAGCAGGTTTATAGGGGCGCCTGGGTGGCTCAGGGGGTTAAGCCTCTGCCTTCCTCTTGGGTCATGATCTCAGGGTCCTGAGATGGAGCCCTGCATCGGGCTCTCTGCTCAGCGGGGAGCCTGTTTTCCCCCTCTCTCTCTGCCTGCCTCTCTGCCTGCTTGTGATCTTTCTCTCTCAAATAAAAAAATGAATAAATAAAAAATCTTTAAAAGAAATAAATAAAAATAAAAGCAGGTTTATAGAGGTGTAATTCACACAGCATTTCACTTTCAGCACACAATTCAATGGATTGGAAAAACTCATAGTATCTCTAACTACCACCACCATCAAGATATGAAAGTTTCATCACCCCAAAAATCCCCTCATGCTCCTTATAGCCAACCCCTAGCCTAAATCCGACAACCAATGATTTGATAAAACTGGACTGTATTATAATACAGATTTCAACCCTGTTCAGACTTTCCTTTAAATATTCATCATAGGGGCGCCTCGGTGGCTCAGTGGGTTAAAGCCTCTGCCTTCGGCTCAGGTCATGGTCTCAGGGTCCTGGGATCGAGCCCCGCGTCGGGCTCTCTGCTCAGCAGGGAGCCTGCTTCCCTCTCTCTCTGCCTGCCTCTCTGCCCACTTGTGATCTCTGTCTGTCAAATGGATGAATAAAATCTTTTAATAAATAAATAAATAAATAAATATTCATCATATTTCACTGATCCTATGACAGACACACACACACACACACACACACACCCTCCCCCACACACATTTGAACACTGACTTTAGGATAAGTCTTACAATCAATGGTGTTTTACTAATATAACTGGCAAAAGACGTTTCTTTACAGAGATACATAAAATAATGATGTCTTATAATCTATGGTGCTTTCAAAAAAAAATCAGTGAAGTGTAATGTTAAGTTCTTTATTTTTTAACATTCGTTGAATATTTACTATGTGTGAAGCATTCTCCTAGACACTGAAAATACGAAAATGAACAACATGGCCCACAAGAACTACTGCTGGAGACAGATATTATCAATTATGATATAATGCGATAATGTCTATAGCAGAGAGTTATCCACCTACTAGGACTAAATAAGATTATCTTTAGATTGATGACTCTTCTTTCAGGCAAAATCCCTACCCCCTCCCCCAACTCAGATCCTTCCATGAACACAGGAAGTAGGATGAAGGAGGTACGGTCCGCCTTCACTCAGCTCATTCCGGGAATGAGTTACAGGCGCTCCATCTGACATATTGCCTAGGAACAATCCAATTATTTCTTCCATAAAACACTGTTGTGGTAGGGAAGCCTCATTTTAGTGTTCAACAGCTGCAAGGCTTTTAGGATAATATCAGAAGACAAGTCACTGAAAATAACTGTTCCATATGTAAAAGGCAGACACCAAGCTTTCATAGACATGCTTCAAGGTCCCTGAATTCTTCCCTGGACAATTTTTAAAAGGGAATGTAGAAAAGAAAAGTGAGTGAGTGCCCTTACCTGGTTCTTGAAAGTGCTCTTCATTTGACAGAGTTCTAGACAAGATCAGTATTAATGCTTCTTTAAATTGGTCAAAATGTACCTAAAAATAAACAGCAAAAAAGAAATTCAAAATAGTTTCCACAGCCTTAAGGAAGTAAATCCATCTCCAAGGTACCAGAACCATTAGGTAGCATCCTGACAGCCTCGAAGTGAGTCATAACTTGCTTTTGTCCCCTTTTCTTCATTTCTGTAAAGCACTGAAGGCAAAGTGGGCTGATCATTTCTGACACCCAGCATCATAAACACTTACGTCAACATCAATATTTATTCAACCCTGAGGGGGAAAGCTATAGAGCAAAACCCTCTTTATAAACTCAGGAAAAGATGTGTTTTGAACTCAACTCCTTTTATTTTTCTGTACAAGACCACAAGAGAAAGAGGTTAGGTGAGATTTTAGGAAAAACTCCCCAAGTAAATGATCCATTGTAATAATGCCCCCAGGATGCTTTCATCTCTTCAGACATTCTAGAGGAGAATGAGCAACCGTTTCAGGATGACTTGAGTATAGTCTTGCCTGAGGCAGGTATATAATATTTATCGCCCAAGGCCCCTGTGATTCTATAAACAAAAAGAAATCAATAGCAAACACAAAGAATAAAAGAACCTTGGGAAGCATTTTCTTGAATTTTTAAACACACAATTACCTTGATAGAAGGATGGATTACTCAGAATTGGGATATTGCTATGGCTGAAGGGGTAAAATGATTTTCTTTACGGCCAAGTGTATTCTTCTGTAACTTAAATTTATGTGACCTCACCATGGGGCAGAAGGGAAAGATGGTATTCCTTCTCGTTTGATAACGGGGCACCTATTTATACAGAAGCCAGTATATTTATACAGAAGTCAGTCGATGTGGTATTTGTGCTGCTATGGGTCTCTTTGGACATCATTATAAAATACTGCCTAGAAGTTGCAATATAGGTGGCAGTGACACTGCCAAATTATACTGGGAAAAGCAGGAAACCTCGTCAGTTACCTAAACAGTGGAGAAAGGAAAGCGTGTCTTATCCATGCAAATCGATGCAAGGGAGAGAAGTCCATCGAGGTTCCTATGTCATAAAATTGTATATGCTTGCAATTTACTACATTCTCCCCAAGTATACGTGCTTTTTCTACCACATCCATTTTCATCACTTACAATTACTTTCTAAAAATCATGTTCCTTTAGCCAGTATAGACTAGAAAGCAGCATACTCTGTGGAGACAGAGCAGAAATCTGTCAAGGCAGGGGGTGGCCTGGGTGGCTCAGTGGGTTGGGCATCCGACTCTCGGTTTCAGCTCAGGTCAGGATCTCAGGGTCGTGAGATCGAGCCCCGTGTAAGGCTCTGTGCTCAGAGGATGGTCTGTTTGGAAGTCTCTTCCTCCTTCTCCCTCTGCCCCTGCCCTCCTCCTCTCCCACTTAAAAAAAAAAAAAAAAAAAAAAAAAAGGCAATCCATCAAGGGAGGCAGGGCATCCGCTAGAGAGCCAGGGTGCAGCAGTCAACGGAAGGTTAAGAGACTGAAAGGGAGGGGCGCCTGGGTGGCTCAGTGGATTAAACCGCTGCCTTCGGCTCAGGTCATGATCTCAGTGTCCTGGGATCGAGCCCCGCATCCGGCTCTCTGCTCAGCGGAGAGCCTGCTTCCTCCTCTCTCTGCCTGACTCTCTGCCTACTTGTGATCTCTCTCTCTGTCAAATAAATAAATAAAATCTTTAAAAAAAAAAAAAAAAAAGAGAGAGACTGAAAGGGACAAATGACTAAGGAGCCTGCAGGAGGAAGAGGGCCAAGACCTGCTGCTGGCCCAAAGTCTGAGCATGGGCTTTAGGCGCTGGGGCAACCTGGCTCCTGTTTCCAAGGGCAAGGCAGTCTCCCCAGCACCAGCCAGTTCACAAATAGCACATACCCAAGGGCTCTCCCATCTCGGACACTTGCCAGGCATTTACCACTGCCTACTAGAACCATCCTTTCCCCTTAGGGTGGGCAGTAGGAGGGTTAGGAGCACAGGCTTGGCGCTGGAGCCAGCCGGGTCCAGGATCCGACCCTGCCCCAGCCACTGCCTTCCCGCTGTAGCTCAACAACTCACCCTCTCTGCGCTTTAGTTTGCTCAGGTATAAAAATGGGGACCTCTAACAATTTTTTTTTTAATTTTTAAAAAGATTTTATTTATTTATTTATTTATTTATTTATTTGACTTGTACAGACAGAAATTACAAGTAGGAAGAGAGGCATTTCAGAGAGAGCGGGAGAGGCAGGCTCCCTGCTGAGCAATTCAGAGAGAGAGGGGGAGGCAGGCTCCCTGCTGAGCAGAGAGCCCCGATGTGAGGCTCCATCCCAGGACCCTGAGATCATGACCTGAACTGAAGGCAGAGGCAGTGGGTTACACTGAGCCACTCAGGCGCCCCACCTCTAACAATTTTTATGATCCATCCAACAAATATCTATGGGGCAGCTACTACGGGCTGAGCACTATCCTAGTGGACAAGAGTGACGGAGATCATGCCACCACGGGGCGCATCTTCCAGAGACAGCACAGGGAGCCCGGGCACCCACCGTGTCAAGTGCACGGCATGTATTTCATGTGATTTGTAACACCTCCCTCACAGCAGCAGGAGGAAATCCAAAGGAGAGTTACACGACGTGTCTAGAATTTCCAGGGACCTAGCAGGTACTCAGCAAGTGGTAGTAAAGCCACTTGGTGTAGTTAATTACCGATAGGTAAATGCTAGTTACTACCAATCGGTATATGGCATGACTGCTTCCTCGACTTGTACAGAGAGATGGCCACATTTTTAAGCAAAGCCATGAGAGTAACCAGGACGGCCAGGGGGCATGGTGACAGCTGGGATCTTGCCTCCCCACTGAGACCTGGACAGGTGCCCCCCATCAGAGAGACGTATGCAGCGTGCTGTGTTTAGGGACCTCAGTTTGGAGGTTTCTCTGCTTGTAGGATACTGATGGGAAGGGCCTGAAAGAAAACTCCGTCTCTCCTTCCCAGCTGTGAGTTGGACAGAAAGGGCTCCTATTTCAAAAGGAAGGTAACTAGCCTTGAGAACTTCGAGTCTTTTACGCTTCACTTATGGGTCTCTACTGAGTCTTCTAAAGGCCTAAGCTTTGGCAGAGGCTACCAGAAAGAGCCCTTCTGAATCTAGTCCTGACATAGCTCAATTCAGTGAGTATGAGCTGTGAAGGTCGCCCAGAAGTCTATGGACCTCAATCTTACCCTGAAAAATGACCAAGGTACATACACTCTGGACATTAATCCCATTCAACTTCCATGACTTTGTTATACCACATCTGAGGGGCATTTAGGCCTCCTAGAAACACACCAGCCTCTGAGCCAGAAAAGCCTCATTTATACAGAGACTGCTTATCACACAACGCAAGAGCAGACAACTAGAACACAAACAAGTGGTGTCCAAAGCTGAGGAAGGTGCTAGAAAGCCCACACACTCTTCTCACAGAAAATGCCGCACAAGCAGCTCAGGAACTATTTACGTCACTTTACCTGATTTATGAGTAGCTCTGTTGTCCTGCTTCCCCACCCACCACAGATGAGAAGCAGCAAACAAGAGACAGGAGTACTCAGGGGTAACCACTCCAAGAAGTAACGACTGACATCTTGGGATTGAGTAAAAAGACATGAACTCTCTTCCCTCAAGCAAAAATACAGCACTATTTTTATACTTAAAACACCTGGTTTTAAAAACTATACCAACTGTTCCTAATAGGCTGGGCTTGTTTAGTGCTGAGGCAAGGATTACGTGCCACCAAGTAAATCCTGAGAGAACGGCTCTTATAACACAGATGAGTAACTGACCAAGAAGATTTTAAATGATTGTGAATAACCTTATTTTGTGTTCATATCCTCTTTGGTAGGGTAAAACTTTAATAAAATGTTTGTAATCCCCAGTGGTTAATTCTTTAAGACTGTCACTAAATGGGGTAAGAGATCCAATTATTAGAAAATTGAATGAAATGTGGGTCCTGGATCACACGAGAGGAACCAGGTATGTTATTGCTGGTTCAATCTTTCCCAGGCATTTGGTCATTTGGATCTCACAACATCCACGGGAGTCGGTCAAGGCAGGCATCTCCCCACAGAACTGAGGAGACAGAGCATGAAGAAGGCATGTGCCTTGATGGGCGCCTCACATCTTGAAACCTTGGGGTTACCTGCAGAACCCAGGCCTTCCGAATGGACTCAAAGCCTGGCAGCCCTGCCCGCCCCAGACAGGCTTCACTGCTGGTCTGACATCTCAGGGAAATCCCTGTGCCCCGCCTGGTGGTCAGATCCTCGACACAAACCCCCTAAAGCAACATGCTGGGACGACAGGGGGTAAAAGAGCAGGAAGAGAATCTTAACCGTGGGAGGGCAGAAGAGAGGAAAGCTGATAGCACCTAGAAGGTAAGGTCAGGTGAGAGCTTTGAAACTCGTGGGACAGTTTCGGGACATTTGGCTTCACAAAGATATTCCCAGGCAGAGCTATACCATTTCCAAAATGGACCTATTAGGTGAGCCACATTTTTTTTTTAAAAGGAAAAGGAAAAGGGTCTATAAAAGACTAGACATGATGAACTCAGAGGTTCTTCATAATCCAACAGTGCCTATCTGATGGACCTCTTCAACACACACAGACACACAGACACACAGACACACACACACACACACACACATCTAAAAATCCAAAAATGAAAACACAGCAAACTGATCAAAACAGCTGTCATTCAGTCTTAAACTGATGTTTATTTTCCCTTCTGCAAAGGCACATAGACGTTGGACCCTCCATTTTAGAGAACAGTAAATTCTGCATCTTCCAAGAAGATAATTCGCTCATAGAGGCAGGTGACTGCTATTTTCTGACAGTGCTCATGAATACTGATGTGGTGGAAAAGCCCCTGAGGGCACATCCCAGAACCCAAACGTTAATAAATGCCCTCTATTGTGAAGAAATGCGCACCAGTGGGCTCGCTAAGCTTGTAACTGGAATTTGTAAGTACCATTTTTCTCCTCCGAGGGAGCTTTGCTGTTGCCTTATGTTAAAATTTAGAAATCTTCACAAA